TGCTTTTATAATATTTGGCTGTTTAAACTGAAAATCCTTTGATGATGTTATATGTATACTGAATAAGTTTTTTCCCCATGATGATTGTTTATTTTTACACCTTATAATTTAGGTATGAAGACATTTCAGATAAGGAAGGGACCACATGATAAATGTAATTGAAGTTTACATTCAAATAACACACTTTAATTTTGATGAACAAAATGTATTTTGTTTGTAACTATTTGAATCTCTGAGCTACTGTATATATTTTCTTGATTCATCATCAATATGATGATGGGCAAATGCAGCTTTTTTAAAGATTCTGTGTAAAGACAAAACAAATAGGCATATGCATGCACTCATTTGTGAGTAGACCAGAACATCAGTAGTTAGTTAGAACTGTGATTATTTTACACAATTTTTGTGTGTGATGCATTTATTTTTATTAACCAGAGTTGAATACACACCAGTGTGATAATAATTTATTTCAAAACTGAACTGAACACAATAACTTTAATTCAGTGCATTGTCTGTTATATACAGTATTTACTATGTATTTTGTGGCATATTATCAAATAATGAACATCTAAGCATTTCTCTTAACTGTCATTTACTTTGCATTGGTTAGCCTTTTTTTTTTCTTTACCAATGTTAAAATGGTAAAAAAAGTGTGTGCATTCCTGTTTTAAAGTACATCATCTCAAAACATTTCAGATTGATTATATTAATTCACCACATCATTTTTCTGCCCGAAATTCATAATGTTGTTTTGCTAGATTACTGCTTTCAATATTTATTTACACAAAAAAAAAAAAAATTTTAAAAAAAAAAAAAAAAAAAAAGATCTCCTAGTAAAATATTAAAATTTAATATATAAAAAGGCAGCAACAGATAATATTTGATTAAATTTCAGACTGGGCCTGTGGAGTTTGAAGAGAATTTTGAGGATTGAGAATTCAAACTTTATATATTTGCTATATTTGCTAGAGTTTCACTGAATAGAATTTCTTTGAAAACTTGTTTTCTTACACACTTAAAATTTGAATATAATAAATGTGAAGAGATTTTATTATTTATCTCACATATTTGGGAATTTAAAAACAGAGTGAATTAAAGGAATACTCAAAATTGTGAAATGCGAATACAATCTCAGGCAGATAAAATAACGACACTCTGAATTTCTTATTTCCGATGCCATCTTTAATACCTTGTGTCTTGTAATACTGTCTTTATAACTGTAAAATGGATAATGAAGATTAAATCAATTATGTGATCACACTAATTAGAATTTTCATTTTTTTTGTCACTGTAACTTTTACCTGGCAACAACACTTCATGTGTTTACACTACAGGGATATAACAGCAGGATTTTTTTATTGTTAATTACATGTTACCATACTAAATAAATCCAATTTGAATCTTATATTTAAGCTTATCATAAGATAATCAAAATTTAATAAGCTGAAAAAAAATGTACTATGGTATTATATTTTGTCCTTATTAATTTTTTGTAAAAAAAACAATTTTAACTGATACAAAAATATAGCTTCTAAAACTAGACATTGCGTGGAAATATTTAACTTGTTTTCTTTTTGTATTTAATGATTATAAAGAAACGTGATTGGTTGACAATTTTTTTTTAAACTTATGAAATAAAGCTCTCAACAGGCTGTGAAAAGTGTACATTATCACATATGAATTAATTATATTTTTTTAAATATGTTGTTAAATTATTTATGTGTCTCAGTCACTCTCATCCATTTCTAGGACGGTACATTTAAAATGACATTTGTAAGACTTTTTGTATGTAAACCAGCTCTTTAACATTTAAGCAAACACTTGAACAATTATGAATTGTTATGTCTTGTTTATTTTGATTTTCTTCTTTGGAATGTTCAGTTTTATAACAATACAAAATAATGTGCAATACATTGAACCTACTTTTGTCTGCAACAGACAATTTTTTTTTAACTTGAAAAGACCAATTCAAATTTATTTGAATTATTTAGAAATGAAATATTCTGTATTTCAGGGTTTCCCCAATCCAAGATTACATTTCAAGAGGTGCAAGAAAAAAATAATTTAAGAACAGAAGAGCTATCTTTAAGTTATTTCTTCATTAATGTTTACTTCATGTACTGTACTAAGTATTATTTTCTAAGTTCTACATTTCTATTTGTCATTTAATGAACAAATAAGTCCATTTCTGCCCAATTTTAAAAGGCATTGTTACTCTTGTTGGGGTGCGAGATTTAGACAGTCTGTAGGGGGTGCAAGACTAGTACAAAACATTTAAAGGGGATGCAGAACACAGAAAATATAGGAAATGCGGTAATGTGTGACATAACACAAATTAACATTAGATGAAACTGAAATTTATTTTTAAAAATTTCTGGCTTCTGCCACGTTGCTCTCATAATTGACTCATAAGCAACATATTTCCTTGCCAAATTTTCTGGTAATTCTATTGTCATTAATTACACCCATCAAATATGATCTTTCCTATGAGAAGTGAGATAGGTTAAATTTGTTAATTTTGTCAATTTACGCTAGTTTTACTTTTAGGCACGAATTAAATTGATTCCTTTTTGATTTTCTTTTCCTTGATAATATTTAACCAGCAAGTTATCTAACTTAAAATGAATGTAATCTTGCATCATAAAAAATGTTTCAACAATATTTTAGTTATTCTTGAAAGTTAATTTTTGTTACTATGTATTTTCCTCTCCATTTAAGTTGCTGCATTTTTTATCAATAGACATTTTTTATGTTTTATTTTTTTGTTTTTTTAATTATCTTTTTTAAGTTATTTTTTTTTACAATTACTTAGCATTGTACTAAAGATTGCATTTAAATTTATCATAAAATATCTTGTCCAAAAAAAAAAAAGATAATAAAAGTATAAACGTGTTTTAGTTGTTTCCTTTCTTGTGACTTGTCTAGTGATTTTAACCAGTGTCCAGATTTATTGTAAGATTTTATTATAAAAGAATAAAAAGCAATGTAAATGTAAAAAGAGATTCTTTTCTGAATTTTATCAACACAGAAAGACTGGGCCTTATGATATAATCTATCTCATTTAATTTTAATCTATACAATTATTGCCCAATGTCATCCATCCAGAACAATCAGGACCAGAACATCACATGGTCCGTTGACCATTCGGCTACAGGAGGCCTAGGTTAAGGGACCCAAAATATGATGGAAAAATGAAAAAAAAAAAAGAACTATCAACCTTGAATGCATAGGGCACAATCCCAAAAAGTGGCAGGTGGTCTCAAAAAAGTAAGTCATGTGAAGTAGGACGTACCATTTAAATATCTAGATTGTAAGGCTCATGTCAATCACCGTAACTTATGAATTTCTTTGAAGTGAAGGAAAGAAAAAAGTAATATACCCTTAATTATGTTTGTTGTCCAGAAAGTTTATTTGCAGTTTTTTTAAAGTACTGTCCTTTTAGTATTTTAGAATTAGTTTTGTCTTTCTCCAATTCTGAAAAATATTTCATCCTGCTGTTATTTCATCACAAAAATTTTGTCATTAGAAAACTAAGTATAATTAAGAATAAAAGAGGCAGAGGCTGGTTTTCATCCTTTTAAATTTAAGTTAACTGTCACAGAACGGTTGGGTTGTTACAGAGGAGGGCTCCAGTCCTGACTTGTCACAAACTATGCATTGATGTAGTAGTGTTCAGTACAGGACGGCTCCTCTCTGTGATTTATATTGTGGGTGTCTAGGCGTTGGGACAGACAAAGCACAACGATTTGAACGAGAACGAAAACTAACAACTCCAGGTATCCAGATGATAAGAGAATGTATTTATTTCTAAGATATAAGTTGCTGCCGCTGTCAACTGTCTATCTCTATAGCTATGACTTTCTGAACAGTTTCCTCTCAACTATCCCCAAGTTCCACTAGCCAACTCGTCTACTGTTCTCTTGCGACTATTCCCTAGCAACCGATCAACTCTATCGTAGCTCTTCTCTCTTTTCCTCAACTAACTACTGTCATGAAAAGTTCCGAGTTATATATGATTCTCGACCTCCATAGGTGGCCCAGGAATGCTCTCAATTAACACATGCCTGCCCTTAATTTCCGGTCAATTAGAATTTTCCGTCGTTAACCCAAAAAGTATCATGCCAAGTCATGGAAAGAAACCATCACCTCTATCTCCAAGATGCGACAATCTATTAACCTTAATTGACCCCTGAACATTGACGTCTCTAAATCTAAACTAAAATAACAGCAACTTCCGCCCTAAGGTACCTTAACAATGGAGCTATGTCCTGTACCCCCGCCCCAGTCATTTGTGACATTAACATCCCCCAACCTTGCAATCAGTTGGATTATGAGTGGATGGTCACTGTGATTAGAATAACAAAGATCAGGAGGAAAATAAACTTTTATATCATCTCATGACGTGAATAACTCTAAAAAAAAAATTGTTCACTTTCTTGAGAGGGGTCTATAATTTTTGTAATGAGGATTTTTTTTCAATTAAATATTTGTATAAAAATTACCTTCATCAATATTACTCATGCTAAGTAACCAGTTTCAAAATAGTGATTATGCATAGTTTTCAAGGGGACAAATTAGAAATCCAGTAGTTTTTTTTTTACTTTAAGAGCAATACTTTATAGTTGACATTAAGTCTTTGACAGAAGTTCCTGAAAGCTTGTTGATCATTCTGGCTCCTGGTTTCAATTCAGTTTGCCATCCAAGGCAAACGAGTCCCATCCATCAGGGGTGCTTGGGATGTTGGCTTTGGTGGGGATTGAACTCCAGACCACCAGCTATTTGGTTTCAGACAGTTTAGACCACTCGGCCACCCATATCTTAAACATCTTGATCATCAAAACTTTTGATATTAAGTTAAATGTAACAGTAAGTTAATTAATAAAAAAAAATATGCATCATTGCGAGTGAAAAGAAAATATGTGTTTAATAACTCATTTGAAGAAAATGTTTTGAAGTTTTCAAATGTTTTACTTTAAAGAATTATTGGAACCAATTGATTAGCACATAAATTACAAATATGAAACTAACAAAAACACACCAGAATAAAGTTAATTGGATTTACAATAAACTTAAAATATTAAATTAAATTTCTTTTCGCTCGCAAATTCCAGTTCCACACAAATATAACAGACTTTGTTTTTGAAAGAAATGAGTATTTCAACAATTTTAATAGCATTTTTTATTGTGCATTGAAATCCCAACATTCATTATTAAATAATACATTGAATCACTTGATTGAGCAAAAGCGTTAACCTACCTTTTTGTCTGCATTGGTTTGTATTTATAATCTACTAATTTTCTTATTTATACATATATTTTTATTTTCTGACTATTGAATATCACAAAATGAATATGCAAAAATTTCCTAAATATGCCAGACATTAAAAAAAAAGCCAACAACTTATCATTGCCCATCTTTAAAAAAAATTGCATGCTTGAACTATATTTTACCAATGGGCAAACTTGGTGATCTCATTGACACATCTAGTATAATTTTTTTCTGCTTAATTAAGTTACAAAACTGAACATTAGTATTTTTAATTTTTTATCACAATGTTAATTGGCAAATTTAGATTAGATGGAAGGTTCCAGAGTGTTAATCATTTCTGGATAAAATAAATTAGGCCTAGGGAAGAGTGTTGGGAAGAATCTTGGCTAGACAAGAGAAACTTTCATTAACAAACTTTGTACTATTGCAAGACAGGTATTAAAGCAGAGTCAATATTAAAAGTAACAGCTAAGTTGTATTTCATCAAAACAACATACATCCTAAAAATAAACAATTTTCATTTTTTTCCCCCTTTAAGTTAAAAGGCCAATTACTATTCAAACAGTATATATTATTTAGGACTCATAAATGCAATGAAATTCGTACCGATAATAATTTAACACACGCTAGGATGTCAAAGAAATGGACTGCAATGACAGAATTTTGAAAGATACTTAGTAATGTCTTATTGCGTAGATTTTAAGAGAACATCATTGAGAAAAACCACAACCTTGAAGCTATGAGTTGGAGTCCCTGTTAGCGTGGCATGAAGCAGAACATACATTTTAGAGGGCTATATAATGTTATTGACAATAACTTGTCACAAGTGGCATCATTGCAAGACAACTACGGATGAGTTTTGCAACATAAAAAGTTAAGAAAAGAAACTATTAAATGAGAGAAAAATATCAAGGCACAAACAATGATTTCTTACGTTTGCTTACAGTCATAAATATTTATTCTTCCAACAGTGTCAACATTTTCTAATAGCTGTTATTAGCTTCAGAGAAATTTCTGGTCTTTCTCAAAACTCTTTGAAATGATCTACAATATTAATTTCAATTACTGACACAGCTCAGAAATGTACAGGTGTTAAAGATTATTTGAAAATGCAAGCATCCATTTTATAAACTACATTTGGAACAGGAAAAGAAACCTAAAAAAACACATGCCTGTGCAGTGTGGAGATGGGATGTGATGCAATTAAATTTTCATATGCAATTCAACACTGCAGAAATGAATTTTTCTTCTGTTCTGTTACGCAGAATCATGGATAGACAGACAAAATAATGGACACCTGTTATTTGCTTTGCTTTAATATAAAATAATACTATTAAAATTCAATTAAAAATAATATCAAGGAAAAATGTGATGAAAATAACTATAAAGGAGGCATGAGTGTGTAAAGGGAAAGAACACTAATCCTCATCTTGACAACGGTCAATACATGTATATGTTTCTTTTAAATTGGTCCTTCTCTATATACAATGTATATGCATTAATAATAATTATAAATGGAAAAGTTCATATTCAAGTATAACCATACCTTTATTTAACTGAGAAATAACGTTAATTTGACATAACTCCTACGTCCTACTTACTCTCTGCATAGGAGAAGAAAAAAAAGGAAAAAAAAGGAAATTTGCTTTCTGTAATACTTGAACTGTTATAAATACCACATGAGCATTTATGAAGCAATTTTTTTTTATGCTTAATAAGGGTTAATACACCATATTTTAATCACAATACTGAACTAGATTATTTAATGCCTTCATTTTTTTTTTTTTTTAAATACAAATCTTTGGGTTCTGCATTTATTAAAAATAGTGAAGAGCCAGTATTTTAAAATAAATGTATGCCAAGTAAATAATAATGGAACCAGGCATTTATTGTTAACTTGTTTTTAGGGTTAAGAATATCTACATATCTAGGCAGGTTTAAAAACATTTCATGGAACAAACATTTAATTAATACACATTTTAAAGGTGACTAGATGTTTTCAATTTTGATTTACACAAATACTACTAAGGGTCCATTTATTTATTGGCAATGAATTTTGCAAAAATGCAAGTTGCACTCAGAGCACTGAAATTTCTATGAATTGCAAATCTATTAAAATAAATAAATGATCCTATATCGTTTGCTTAAGTTTTAAATTTAGTGAAATACCCCGAAAACACAATTTCTAAAGCAACTTGCAATTTTAAATGTGGCAGAATTTTTTTGAAATAATAAATCATCATTTCACATGTTAGCTAAAGGAGAAACTTTAATTACCGTGACTCCCTCCCTTTCTTATGACCAATGAACTTGACAGTCGATTCATTTAATGAAATATGTTACTTTAATCAGTGTTATCTAAATTGAAAAAACGCATCTTGCTATGGCAGATAAAAAAAATCCACCAGCAAAATGACAATTATTGACTTATTCTGAATTTTTTAACAAAACTAACCAGATTTTGTGGTTTTGAAACATTATTAAAATTTCTGGAGACAAATATAAATGACAAAAAAATTTGCCTTGTTATATTCAAAATTATTTAAATTACATTTTTATGAATACTGTTTTTCCTAATTTCCACTGTCTGATATTGAAGTACAATGAATGTCATGAAAAATTAAACATTTTTTGGACTACAATGAGCTACAATTTTTGTGTTAGCTTCAGCAAAATTGATTATAAATTATGTAATATAGACTTGAACATGACTTTAAAATTTTAACTTTTTAAGGAATATTAACTCTGGAATGGTAAGAACTGCACTTTTAGTTACCATGGAAAATGCATGCAATGCAATATTAAACAGAAAATCATTTGATCTTATAAGGTCTATTTTTTTCCAAGTCTCATATAAATTGTTCATTCTTTGGCAGAAGGATTAAGCAGCAAAATATTCTGTATATTTCCCAAAATAAAATAAAGACATTCTCACCGATCTATGTAAGTACAAAGTTTCTAGAAATAAGCCGAGAATTTAAGCATGAGACAAATAGTATTACACATTAAAATTTATTCTTATCAAAACACTGAACTGATGCAATGCAACATGTTATTAACTTTGAAATCTTTTTTCCCAACAATCGATATTCCTCATAACATCTATTTTAGAAAGTGCAAGACACTTGAAATTTTGCAAGCAAAAACAAAAAGGAGGGTCTTTGGATATGGTACTTATCCCATATATTCCCTTTCACTAAATGACAAGTCATCAGTGACAATGTTAATTAATATTATTCTAACTCTTAAGGGGATTATTTTCTTATATTCATAGCTGTGTAACAATTTGAAATATATAAACTTTATCTGAATCAACCTACTTAAATGCAAACAAAACATAATATGTTGTATTGTCAAAATATTCTGCAGAAATCATAAACATCATATTATAGCAACTGAGTAAAAGCAAATCATTAAATAAGTGCATGCACTTTGCACTATTCCATACAGTGCAGGGCATTGATTTTTGCAATTGCTAATAAATTAAATTTGATCATGTACAAAATATCAGACAAGTGATTGTTCCTGTTTAATGTTAAGTAAATCTCATGACTTTGAGATTATATAAATAGTTACTAAAGGCTGTTTATAGAATAACTGCCTTAATACTGTTTGAACATGCAGAAAGCAGTTATCAATGGTTAGAACACCATAATCTATTCACAGCCGATTTCAATTATCAGCTTGTCTCCAAAAAAATTATTATATACATATATAAACATAACAAACACAAAATTTAAAAAAAAAAAGGCAATCAAAATTAAAATGTACATTTTACACACTGAAACTTTCAAAACCCAATTATCCTCGAAAGACAATGAACAGCTAGACTGAAAGAGAGAGCTTTCTTGAGAATAAATAGATAAACACAAAACAATGAAGCCAAAGGCAAGTTGAATGTTCAAAGAATGAAAGACTTATGGTGAAATTCACCATCTTTACCCCAATGGAACTGACTGTAGTGTAGCCGAAATGGGGGTAGCATTGCTCCCAACTGCAGTGCTGTTAATGACAGCAGTTGGTTGGACTACACTAGCAGAAGTACCTGACAAATTAGTTGCAACTGTTGCAATAGGTTGATTACTAGAAAGTGGTAAATTATGGCTCCCACTAACAGAAGTTACTGAATTAGGAATGGATGCTGTGCCTTGAGCACCTACAGTAGATGGCTTGGAAGCAGTCTGACGAGATGCATCTGTCATGGTTTGCTGAGGCTGGATTCCTTGGGGCAAGTTAAAAGCACCACTGTTTCCCATGTAATGGGTGAAAGCGGAATTAATACTGGCCTGATAAGCAGCTTGCTGGGCAGCCTGTTGGTTGGCTGCATTCATTGGGAATGTTTGGTAGCCACTATAGGGATTCATATTAAAGCCATATTGATTAGCATAATAAGGATTAAAGGCATGGGAGGGCATTTGGGATTGATGTGAAGATTGCTGAGGTTGATAAATGTTCTGGTTTTGATGCTGACTAGTTGATGACAGTTGAGCTTGTGCCATATTTGTCTGGTACTGCTGATAGCTCCGAATTAAATCTGGGTAAGAGCCATGTGATGACATGTCTACACTCGATTTGCGGCTATTTGTAGAAGAATGATCAAGACTGACATCTGTAAAATCTGTGCTGGCACTTCCTACACCACTTGAATCCACACTGTCATAATGTGTTTCCCATCTTGTTTCCAGCTCCTGCCTTTGGTCATTTAAATTTTTTTTCATCTCTGCTTTTTGCTGAACACTACTTGACTGCATGGTGAAGTCCACATATTTCATTAGGTCTGCAAATCCGCTACTGGATTTTGACCTCATTTCTTGGATGTTAGCATCTATCTGGAGAGGAGATTTCCCTAAAGCAGGTGCTTCAGCTTCGGCACATCCATCAAAGTTTTGATCCCCAATATGGAATAAGCCAACAGGAGATGAGGAAGATTGGTTAGAAAAAGGAGGAGAAACTCCCAAGAAAGCTGGTGACCCAACAGCATTGGACAAAAGAGGATGAGGTTGTCTAATTTTAAGAACCTCAAAGTCAATCACTTCTTGGTCATATCCTTTCTTGATTAGGTAGTCTCGTTTTTCTTCAATGTGTCTGAGGGATAAAAAAAAAGAAGATTGTTTGATTATTAGCAGAAATGTAGTTTACTTACTTATTCAAAAACTTTATTCAATGCCCAAATACCACAATTACTTTTAAATTATATTTTAAAAACAAACTTTATTTTATTAGTCTTAAAATAGGACCATTATTAAACAAATGTATGGTATATACTTGTTCTTAAGTCAACCTTAGTTTTAGCTGAGAAAAGCCTAAAAAGTGTATAACCCGATCATAAGCCGGCCGATTTTAATAAGATGCTAGTGTAAGTAATAGAAAATTATTTTTAGGCCAACTGTAAGGAGGCAGCAAAAATCTTGACCCACCCCTAGCCAAACCACTGCATACAGTGTAATCTATATGCAGGTACTTGCTTGCATTTACAAAAATAGATGACTGGTGGAGCCCCCTGCTCTTTCCATAAATGTATTCTGCTATAAATATTAATTAAAAAATTTGTGTATGTGCAAATCGCAATATAGGCCAGCTGATGTTACCAATCATATTAAAATTTCTTTTACTGTTATGAAGAATGGTTTTCAACTGCTACAACTATCTTATAAAATATGACAATCTAACATTTCATTTTTCAATTTAGCTACTTTGATACTCTGAGCACAGCCAATCAGGGAAGTCACAAAATAAGGAAAAAAAATTGATTCAAATTAAAAATTTTCTGATGGCTTTATGATAGCTTTAGTTAATTAAGTTTTTCGAAGTAGTTTACTAAAGATCAAATCAATCTACAGAGAGTTGTTAATCTTTAAACTTATTGCACTGAAATATTTAGTTAAAAGTCATATATAGAACGAGTAACCATGATTGGGAAACCATATACTGTAAAGACTAATGCAGTTTTAAAAATGCTTACTTATTTAGAAGTGATTGGTATTCTGCATCCATATCAAGAGCAGCAAATTCATTCTTTATTTTCTCTGGGTTCAGTTTTGGATCCAGCATAGTATCTCTGTCACAGTTCTGGAAATGAAACACATTTAATCTCTTAGGTGGGTTTTATGTGCTAAATATTTGTAAACATTCTGCTATAATCTCCATTTATTAGATACGATTTCTTTTGATATTCTATAATATGTATAGAGCATTTGCAAAGTAAAATCCAACTCATAAACTTTTCTTTTAATATAAACTTGTAATGTATACCAGATGAAAAATACTAATTCTAAAAATGACAAAACCCCCCTTTTTTAAGTGGAAAATTAAATGCTTTCTGCCCCAATTAAAAAAAATTCGGTCTACAAATTTGTAAACTAAATAAATATTCCTTAAAATTTTTTTAATTGAATCAAAATTCTTTTATACCATACTTGCATTGTCCAAAAAAGTTTATAAAATTGTTATTGTTTTAAATATTGTGTTTATTTATACTTTGAACTTGTACAACAATATGACAATAACTAACATCTTTAGATCAAAACTATTATTTTTGAAGTTATTCATTTATTTGTCTAAAGTAAAGCATCCAATTTAACAGTGACTTAAATAGCTCATAATACCTGTTTAAATTTAGATTCCATGGCTGGAGAGACTAGAGGTTGTTTATAGCCTATGTGAGTTAAGTTTTCAAAAGGGAAATGACAATCCCCTTGCATGCATTTAGTAGTTGGATATAATATTGGCACAGAGTTAAGCGTTATTGGCATAAATCTGAAATTATTTATCCCTTCACCTACAAAATGGTTTTTATGACAAAGATTATGACAAGTGTCTGGATGGGTTGAGGTTTTCTTGCCACTGGTCAAATGGCTAAGTGAAACTGATCTACCCCTTCTTTCAAGATTTACCAAAATAGGTGATGTACACAGTGACCTTGGTCCTGCATTTAAGTTATCAGATTCTGAAAGTCTAGGATGGGGTAAATTTAAATTAATTGCCTTGTTATTTCTCTGGGCAAAAAAACTACTTACATTAGACTGTTTAGCATCATCTGAAGCCCCTTCACCATCTGTATTGGAATTAGTAGTATGAGATATAGGACCAGTAAACTCATGCTTATTGCAAGATTGCTCAGTGGTAATAGGATTAGTATTAATTGAAGCTGATGGGGTAGCATCTGTTGATGTTCCTTCTGAAGACGTAGAAGGTTCTGGATCAGCTGAAATCTTGGTAACTTGAAATCTTCCTTTTTTCTCTATCTTCTTTGTCTCAACAAGATTATTTTTAGAATTTTCTCTCTGTAATAACTCTGGTTTGTCTTCATCCCCTTTCTCTGACATCAGTGGGTCATCCTTGACAGCCTCTACTTTAAAACGAGATAATGCCTTCACTTTTGGAGCAGATAAATCTGGCTCTGATCTTGTTTCTGTTGGAAATGAGGGAGAAGGCTCAGAAAGTGTTGCTTTCTCTAACACAGATTTTTCTTCAATTTTCACTTTCACTTCTGTGGGATCTATGTTTGTATCTGCTGGTTTGGACTCATTTTGTACATCATTAAGGTTTGTACCACTATTTACAGGTGAAGGATTGTGTTGATGTGGATGGCCTGCATTCTGCCTACCCATTGTTTTAGCCAAGGCCTGCTCCAAAATGTTAATATCTGCTTTAGATCTTCCTATTACACTGAGGTTCTCAATCGACGCATAGGGAGATTGACTGGAAATATCTTGTCCAAGATTTCTTCTTGATGATGTGGGTGATCGGGGTGGTGATACAGTAGTTGGAGCAGATGCATTATCTAATGGGTGTGAGGAAGACTGGGGAGGAAGGGAATAGGGATATCCCCAACCAGAATAATTAGAATAAGGAAAAGGCATGTGGACGGGGAGAGAATGTTGACTATGCTGTTGCTGCTGAATCTGGTGCATCATGTGTGACATCTGCATCATGGCTTGCATGTAGGGTGTCATGTGTGAGTAGTAGCTTGGTTGGTGAAAACTGTAAGGTGGAATATGCATCATATGTTGCATCATACCAAACAGTTGATGCATTTGCTGCATCTGTGATGCTGGATGCATGCCATAGTTCATATGAGTAGGAGGTGCATTGTAAGTTTGAGGTAAATTTCCAGCTTTTGAAGAATCTGGCCCTGGTACACTCTGAGGGACAGGGACACTCTGAGGGACGGGAACATTTTGGGGGATTTGGGGATTTTCAGGAACAGGAATAGTATGGGTAACTGAAACATTCTGTTGTATTGGGACATTCTGTGCTAATTGAGGTACAGCTATATGTTGCCCTAAATCTTGAGGAACCACAGGAATCTGCGGTTGCAATCCAGAAAATTGCATTTGCTGAGCTGTAATGGGTGGCATTGCTTGAGTTGGCGGAACTGCCTGAGTTGGCGGAACTGCCGGAGTAGGCGGAACTGCTTGAGTAGGCGGAACTGCTTGAGTAGGCGGAACTGCTTGAGTTGGTAGAACTGCTTGAGTTGGAGGAACTGCTTGAGCAGAGGAAGCTTGCACAGCATTATGTGGTGAAACCTGAGTTTCATTTGACTTCCCTATATCTGATGCTACTTGGTTTGACTGAGTTCCCCCTGGTTGAACATTAGCTGAAATTGAGCCCTGACAAGGAGGATATGACACTGATCCTGGCTGATTTTGACCTGAATGCTGTTGATTCACAGCCCCAACTGATGCCTGAACTTGAGGTGGTAGAGGCAGCTGCAAGGGCATTTGCAATTGGGAATTCCCATCAGCCGGTTTAACTGAAGCAGTTTGTGATTCGGTTGATAGACCAACACCTGCAGCTGTGCCACAAGATGGCTTTTGTGGATAAATAGACTTCAGCTTTTCAGATAACTCATCAATATTTATGGGTACACTTTCTTTTGTTGTTGTAGACTTCCAAGATTTTTGTTCTAAATCTTGAGGCATGCCACCTGTTTGGGTGTTGTTATAATCAGGATTGTTTTCTGGAGAAGTTGTGGCGTCATCTGGTTCGTCTTCGACTATTTGGTTTGAGACATGGTGCGTGATAATCAGACCACCTTTATTAGCATGAGCCCTTACTTCCTGGCCCTGAGATCCCTCCGTCAGTGACTGAAAAGGGGATTAAATCATTTAATGCAACTGCTGATTATAAAATGGAAAAAGCTATTTTCTGTAATAAAAAATACTACTTTTTAATTGCACAAGCATCTGAAGTTATCCAGAAGATTTATTAATAATGGCCATAGCACAGTATGATGCAAAAATTCTTAATATCCATATATACTTTAATATAAAAGTATGATGTGAAAAAAGGTAAAAATAATAATGGAATAATTGCCATGAGGAAGTAGAAATATTGAACTTACGGAGAAGCTGGAATACGAACATAATATAAAAAAACAAACAGGGATCAAGGCACTTTATTAAAGGTTACCTTTTTATTTTCAATATTGATCTTATATTTGCGAATAGCTGTTGGACTAGAAGAAGGAGATAGGGTGAGCACTTGCCCAACAGACTTCGTCCCTTCTTGTGTTACAATTAATATAACTTGGTGAAGCAAACCAGTCACACCATCAATCTGAGCTTTACTGACATCTGGTAGCTGAAATGAAATTAAAATATATTATCATTTTAAGAAAAAGGAATTGTCAAAAAAATAAATTGTAGCCCCCTAAATAATATACAATTTTCCATTGCTCCTTATAAAAATCTTTTGTTTACAAAAACAAACAAGTAGCAAGACATTGCAGTGTTACCAACCAAGATTTCTCTTTCAAAGCCTCCTCAGCTCTTGGATCAGAAATACCAGGAGTTCAACTGAAAGTTGCAAGCTAATTAAATTTCACTCAAGAAATGCACAAAAACAAAACAAAACATGCGTGTAACAAGTTTAACAAAGAAAAGTTAACATTTTTTTTTTGTTTCCCACTTTCAGTGAAAGGAAGTTGCAGAAAGCAACTCTTCCATACCAAGTCTTCCTCAACTTCCTCTGGCCTAGGAATAGAGCTGCGGGGAAACTTGCACGTCAGATTGTTGTTTGCCACTTCTAGCAGAATTTCCACTTCGTCTGAAGCCTCGTCAAAAGAGATGATTGTCACTTTTGGGGGGTGTTTGTCCGAAGTCTTTTTACGACGACGGGTCTTCTTCTTAGTCTTTTCTTGACCCAGCTCTGTTTCACTGTGCATGGAAAAAGTGTGTGATGCACCTACTGCTGCTTTTATATACATTTTTTTAAGCCTTCATGTTTTGTATTTACCAGTATGTCAAATTTTGAACTATTTTCTCATACTGAAGATATTTGTATCAAACTTAGGCTGCACAAAGTATATTTCAATGGTGGTGGCTGAAAGTCACCCAAAATACTGGTAAATACAATAAAATGTGACTGATGATTTCCCCCATTTGATAATTGTAATGAACAATACATAATAAGTAAATGTCATAAATTCAAACCTACCTATCCCTATTGGAATGAGAAGATTCATCATGAAGATAGCAGGCAGACAAGCTTGTAGTTAAACCACTTGCACTATGTGTGGCAGTTGGCTGAATGCTGGATGTACTTGAAATCAAATTATTGCCTGTTTGTTGGTTAGAACTCTGTTGTTGATAGTGCTGAGCTGCATTTAGATCAAGTTGACTGAGATTTGCAGCCTGTATATAAAATTATAATAAAAAATATTCTTTAGAAAACCTACAAACACAAATTTGTTAACTATATCAGAAATTATATCGTAAACATTATTAAACCCCAGAGTTTAAATAACATCATTTTAAAATTATTACTTGGTTCTAAGAAAAATTAATGATAAATGAAATGATTGCACATTAACTTTGCATGCCGTACAATTGACATTTAACAATGAGTTATCCCATGGCTCATAATTCTAAAATAAAACATTAGTTTCTAGACTTTAATATAACTAAAGTTATAGATCTACTTATTTATTTAATATCACTTTAATGTGTCACAATTATATTGTAGGAAACACATGCGTCATTCTTTACAAAAATGAAAAATATCTTTGTAAAAACTTACAGTGTACTCCAAAACAGAATATTTTTAACTAAAAATATCAAATCACAATAATTCTCCATCCTTAACCAATTTTCATGATAATTAATTTTTAGATTAAAAACACAGATACTAAAGTATATAACTGTAGATTCTGCAAAGTGAATTAATGAAAGATAATATATATTTAAGTTTTATTTATAATGAAATATGTACTATTGTTGAAAAATTACCATGTCAATCTAAAAATAAATTGGGAGAAGTCTCTAATTTATAAACACATTAAATGACCAGAAAAAACATAAAAAAACTATGCACTATTCAGGACTAATGCTTGCAGTATACTAAAAAGTGAGAAGCTTTCTACTTGCAAAAGTGCTTTTATTAATTAGCAGGAAAGTGTTTTAAACATAATGTTTTTTTAAAACACACCATGCCACACTAAAAAAAAAACAACAAAAAAAACAACCTAACACACCTTTTCTCGTAATCTGCATTTAACTTTCAGCTGTGGATTGCAAAGGGATCGGATGTGAAAAGTTGAGAGCTATACTAACTTTTGAAAGTAAAGAAATTATTCCCAAATCAAAGGATATGTTATTTTAATTTTTTCCCCTTGCAATTTACTATTGACACTTGACAGTAAAAATTTTATCAAGGGATGCACCAAGCAATGTTCTTTTCAAAACCATTGACCACTGACTATAAGCTTTTTAACTCTTGGTGCAATCGGTAGTAAATGTTTGCATGAATCAAAATTTTCACAACAGGTTAATGAAATTTTTTTATTTAATTATAAAAAGCACCTAATGTCTATGAGGTCCATAAAAGAATAATCGGTTTAAATATAAAATTTCTTAACAGATAAACAGTTTTTTAATTTTTTTTAAAGATTAATTTTTTTTAAATAAACCTATTTAACCCCGGAATGGCCACATCCAGTCATTGCCACCTCACCACATCCGGTCATTGCCACCTCAATATCGTAACAGCCAAACCCAGCCACAAAATATACTGCTCAGGCATTGCTACACAGAACTTACTTTCGCCTTTAACATTGAAATCTCAAAATTAACAAGACTAGGTAAGGGCATGGGAGCTTACTACCAAATAAATCAAGATCTTAGCACTACTTTTAAGTTGAGGCCAGGATATGGCTGGGGCGGTTGGTCAAGTCACTGAGGATGATGACCGTGGCAGACCTGGTTACACTGGAACTCCCAAAACAGTACAATCCAGAGTCAGAAAAGTACTTATTACAAAATCGTATTGCACGATTCTGAGATGTCAAGTAAATCAACAAACATACAGTATGTGTACAATAACTATTCAAATCGCATGTCTAATAAAGGTCATTTCCCGAAGTAGATTACTGACATTTGTATTTTTATATACAGTGCATTATTGTAAATAAAAAGGTACTCAATTGCAACATTGATAGACAAAGATGTGATGGGGACATTGAGGACGCCTGCTGAAGTGTCGTCGTCCACCCCCCTCCCCCCAGCAAAAATTGGAAGTGGGGTTTGGTGAGGAGGCTGAGCGCCTTTACCAGAATTTTGTTTATAACTTCAAAATGCAGGGATCCACTTTTGTGCATACCTCAATATACTTTTGCATCATTTTACATAATAGTAATGCTTGTTGAAAATGACGCTCCCTTTACCTAATTAGTAAAACTTATTTCAAACTACTTTTTAAAAAATCAGTCCAAAAAAGGGTAGAGTACAGCAAAATGGCGCATACCACTCCAAAAGTTATATTACTATATTTCAAATAAGAGTTTATTCCAAAAATGAAAATAATTGCTAATAGAATGAAGAAATAAGTTCATTTGTAATCCATCTGGCGCATAACAGAAAAATCCAAGAATTTAGAAATACTTCCACAACATGTGAATGCACTGCTGAAAAATGTGAACAACATCGGTAGGCCCAGCGTTTTAAAAGAAGCACTGTGATTGGCTGAAAACTCTTTTTGGCAAGGGATATCCTGTTTTAACAACCAAGGTAATTTTGATTATACCTTGCACATGTCAAAAATTTACTTAAAATTATTTTATTTACAAAATAAAAAGTACCATTGTGTTTGGAAATGAATATACTTTACAGATAAGCAGTTTTCTAAAAAAAAAAATTTTTTTTAAATTAAGATTTTAGGGGTTTAACCTGCCCTTAAGTCTAGTAGCCAGATTTTATTTACTGTTAACATATTGTAGTCTAATAACTACCATAAGCTGTATTGGGAAGAGGAGTGCTGGTGTATTTATATTGCACCACATCTTAGTGACTTCTAAAAACAGATGTAAAATGGCACTTACTAGAATCTTATAAAATATGTCAGAATCTAAAGCTACTGTACTGGGCAGTTAAAATTTTTTTTTTTTTTAAAACCTGTAGTTTTCTCTATTTTAACAATCGCTGCTGTTCAGCTAAAGTACGAAATAATTATGTCATAAAATTACTTCATACTGCACCAAAGCAAATGTTTACTAAATTTGTCAATAGTGCTAAATATTACTGTATTTCACATTTATTGTGAAAACAAAGCAACAATATGATGCTCATTACAAAATGTGTTATATATAGCCTATAAATATATTTAGACACTTCACCTACCCCCTCCCATTGCACCCCCCCCCCACACTCTTCAAAGTGAACACCACCTCATTTCCCCTCTCGGTGCATATGTAATATAATTATGGATGGTCTCCAGCGAATCGCACTTCTCTGTCCATGCACCAAAACGTTTTTTTGTTGTTTTTTTTAAATCCTAAAAACCAATGGAATATATTTTTTGAACTCGGTCTCATAAAATCCTCGTTCTGACAGGTCTACGCGTACAATCATAAAAGACATCTCAAAATCATACATTGTAAACCAAAATCTTAAGAGTTAACAGGTCTGCCATGGTGATCATGAGTGATCAAATATGTAGACCTTCAAAAATTTACTGAACATGTAATTCCAAGCAATAATATAAATCCTGATGAAACTCAAACAGCTTATGATATTTTTCACCGTTCATTCCTGAAGCATTCTATGGACAGTGTTATGGCAACTAATCGGGGACTGCAAACATCTCAGACATCAAGATGTTTTTATGTTTGGCATTCTTATATTGCTCAATTATAGACTGCATTGGTCAACAAATGAACTGCTATATGTTTCAGCAGTGTCAAAAGTTATATAAAGAAACAGGTATCAAGCTATGGCCAATGTTTTCATCTCAATATTAAAGCAAATTTTCTTTTGAGAGGGGAGCCTGACAATGATCCCATTCGGCCACTATTTGATACAGTTGTGGCAAATTTCTTAACAAGGGTGAATTAAGAGAAGGAGATTGCCATTGTCAAAGACATGTTGATTACACCGATGATTATTTTTTTAGCATTAAAAATAAGCCTCCTCCCTGGGGCGTCAAATTGAGGCGTGCAGCTGAACCACATAGTGGTTTTTTTTAAAATTTCAATATTTAAACTAGGAAATCTGCTGTATATACGTGCTGTATATATGCCCAATGTCCTGGGATATCGGGTTGTCTTTACAATGGGTGATCCTTATCTTAAAAAGCATCACCATTTTTTTTAAATGCCAATTATTTTCCTGGTTTCAAGTTTCTCAAGGACTTACTTCAGCTAGGCGCACAATGATTTGTGACTATTAGACCCTTTTCTATATAAAGGAACTAAAGAAACTGAAACTAAACAAATCAACTAAATCTGGAGTGCCATTTAGACAAATTGGAAAATGTTGGATTATCCATGACAAAAGGACAAAACAAGTTTTCTCGATTTAACAGCTTGTGGACGTGCTGATATCCAGATCAGAAGAAGTAGCAAATTGTAGGTCTCTTCTATGGTTTCTGATTCGGGTTGCCACAAATAGCGCATTGTGTAAAAAAAAAAAAGTCCACTCAACATCCAGGACAGAAATCAAAGATACATTTGGACTTTTCCTTTGAGCTGATGCATGGGTTCATATCTGGATCACCTGTAAGGCAATGTACTGCAACTTACAGCATGAAACTGGCAGAAACATAACTGCCTACACAATGCCTCAGTCAAGCAAGTTTATGTCAGAATAAAAATATGTTATGAGTGTTTGAGAGCTGAGCAATAGACCTATGGATGCCTCGTGTGCAAACTTCATTAATGTCAAGGAAACTGCTTTGCAGCCTTTCACAATAATCGCAACTAAAATAAATATAAGTTCTTGTAAGGTACACAGTTTTTTTTCCTTCAATGTTGTTCACGTTTGTCATTCAGTCATTTGCTTTCATGTCAACCAATATCATATAAAATGAAAATTATTCAAATGGAGCAACCCTTTATTTTACAATGCACATTCAATTTATTTCACGTAATTATGTTGCAAGATAGATTTGTTAATTCATTTTTTTCCTGAAACAGCCTGCGCTAAGAATAGAGCTATTTCCTTCATTTAGCCACGAATTCTGAGTATTAAATTTGCGAGTGACTGGGATTGAATGGATTAATTAAATCAAAGTGTAAAAAAAACGACACCCAATATCTTTAAATATTTAATTTCAATACTTCAAATCATTAAGAAATCACATTTCTCCGCAAGACCTCTGAGGCAAAAATGACTGACTATTGCTATAAATTCCAGTAATTCTACTCTGTGGATAACAATTCCATTTATTTGGAAATTTTGGTGCATCCCTTATTAAAATTTCTCTTACACTATCACACATTAGAACAGAGACTGCGAAACAATACAGCTTAAAATGTTAAAAATTTTAGGGTGTAAGAAATGTAAGAACTCTTTTTGTTAAATAGAACAATTTAGGCATGCAAGTGACAGAAAACCTCTGTGTGTATATCTTTCAAAGCTTTTTTTTTTTTACTTATTAGTACCAATTTATTATATAAAGAGAGCACAAAAAAAAATAAATGAAAACTTCCATCTTAAAAAGTAAAATACAGAGATCTTTTGAAGATGATAGTAAGTAATCCATTCATAAGCAGATCTCATTTGATCTGTCAGTTATTTTACTCTGTAGTGTCTTTTCCTGGAACTTGTACAGCATTATTACTTTTAGGAATGTTTCTACAGCAAAATTTTAAATGAACAGTAAAAAAAAAAGAAGACATTTACAGGCTGAAAACACAATTACCTGATTTGTTTGCTCCCCACCTTGGGTACAATGACTAGTTGATGAAGTAGTTGAAAGCTGAGCAAAGAAATAAGATATAATATACTTCAATTATGAAGGACATCATTTTCATTACTTACTTTTCAATATTAAAAGAAAATTAAAAAGTCACTAGTGTGGTGTAACATTTTATGAAACATACCTGTGAACCACTCTGAGTAATATTGATGTCACTAGGACAAGAGCCAGTATCACCCGCCTTATCACTGATCACTGTATAAAAATAAATAATGTTCAAGTCACTTAGTACTACACTTGAAATAAGTTTTTAAAAATTCTTTAGTTATCGTATTTTACAGACTATAAGACGCACTTTTAATTTTTAAGCAATTTATTTTTTTTAAAGAAAAAAGGTGTGACATATAGTCCGTAAAATATGGTATCAGTTGTTAACACAACTGCTCATGCTGCTTATGAAAAAATATAATTCTTTCCTTAAGACTGGAAATAACATTACTTGGACATAGTAAGTAATGGGACAAGAATTAAAATGATTCCCAAGATCAGAATAATTATAATTATGGAAAAAGCCTTTTTTTGAAATAAACCAACTAAAATTTGAGAATAATACATACCTTGTTCATCCCCACCAGGTTGTGCAAGTGGATTTATAGGAGTTGGAGATCCTTGAACATTCATTTGATTCACAACAGGAGAAAAAGAAGCACCAATGGTTGGAGTGGTTATCTGTTGAGTTCCAGTTGCTAAAACTGGAATCCCAGTAACTTGCTGGTTTACTACCATTGGTTGATGTGCAATAACTGGTTGACTTGCAATAACTGGCTGACTTGCAATAACTGGTTGGCTTGCAACAATGGGCTGACTAACAGCCACTGGTTGATTTACAGATACTTGAGTTAAATTCTATAAATTTGAAGAAAGTATGACAAAATTTTTTTAAGCAAAGTGCTTTAAAGTTCTCAAATGTGGAACAAGTGACAAGTGCAATTAAGTAATTTCATTACAGTGTATCATCTAAAATACCTTGATATATGTATAAAAAACGCCAAAATTATAAAATGCTTTCCAATTATAGCATTGCTGTTAAAAGCAAACAATTTAATAATAAAAAGAAAAATTAAAAAGCAGTTATCTCTAATAAATTGTTTGTATTTTAAAAAATAACTTATCATCCTTCTCTAGAAAAAAATAGCTAAAAAGACCAAAAGGAAAAATATATAAGCATAAGCAGCTTATTAGCCATGATGCACAAATACCTGATTTTGAATTGGTGGAGAGATGACAGCACTCATATTAGTCCCCTGTGAAATCACAACTTCTTTAGACATTGCTAACATTGGATTAGCAATTTGCTGAGCTGCAGAAGGTGCCGAGCATACTGTAGTATGACCCTGAACAACCACATTTTGTGTCGAATTGGATATTACTCCTTGGGCATTCATACTATTAACACTCACAAGTTGCCCAGCTGGCTTTTGAGCTGACCCTAATTGTCGTTGACTGCCAACAGACTGGCTTATACCAGGGCCTTTGTTTAATCCAATTGTTTGGGCTTCTTGGGTTGTTAGTATAAGATTTTGTCCTAAATTTTGGTTTTGAGGAAGTATGGGTGTGTTAGGTACAAGTGGGGAGACTAAACTTGGTAAATTAACTATCTGTCCTTGTGAGTTTGGAATTAAACTTTGTGAGTTTGGTATCAGTCCAGAATGAGGTGTCTGTGGTATGAAGTTTTGACCAACATCAGTAGTCAGAGGTTGGGGATGTGATGATACCTGTGCCTGCTGATTTAAACCAGCCGATTGTTGCTGTGATGATGACAGAGTCAAAGGCTGTCCTGGTATTTGCGCTGACTGGGGTGTTTGAGGAACATTATTTGCCTGCGAGTATAAAAAAATATCAATATATGCTGCGCATGTTTAAAAATGAATTTTTTACTATTATAAATGATCTGTAAAAAATATATAAATTGTTATACTTCTTTCCAATTGTGTATTATTTAACGTACGCATTAAAACCTGACTTTTAAAAAATACTAAATGCATCATATGGAAAAACTGAATATCCAATTGCAAATATGATTACAAACCTCAGCTGTCTTCTGTTGTTGTAGGTTATCAGAAAGAGTCTTTTCTCGAGTCTTTTTTACTTGAGCGATTCTGTCTCTGATTTGCTTCGCGACTATTCTCTTGTCATCTTCCAAAAGGAATCCAGAATTGACCTGCATATATTATTACTAACATATTCACGTGGCAGCTTTAAAATTATGTCTATTTATAACAATTAATATTTAAACTTATTTATTTTACTTGAAACATCCTAACTGTCAAGTCTCTATATGCCAAAATAATCAAATAATATTTCATTCTAATAAATTTTTAAGTACACTAGCAAAAATTTTTTTTGACAAGTTTATAAATGAGAAGCTATGTAAAATAAAAATACTTTTGGCAAGAAGAGTTACATCCCATAATATCTGGTAGGCTAAGTTACCGATTGTTTCAAGTGCAAAAAAACATCAAATTTAAATCAAAATGTGAAAAAAAAATGAATGTGGTGGTCGTGGTGTTGTCTTCTGCAGTTTTATTTCTTCAAATATGATTGTGCGGTTTAAATATGATTGTGCGGTTTAAGTTTACCATATTATTGATTAACCTTATAACTGTCAAGAATAATTTTTAATAGCGACAAGCCATTTTTAGCTATTTCATACGCTTGTCAAAAATGACAAAAATCCCAGACTAATAAATGAATACAGAGACTCTTACAAGTATACATTTTTTTGAAAGTACATTGGACAAGGCATTTTTTATTATGTATGTTGATATTCACCTTGACCTATACAGAGGGAGTAAAATTTTACTACTTAACTTCTGAATTCAACCCAGCCTAAATACGCTATAAATTGTTCAAACTATCATAAAACGAAGTGGCTATTCGTACCCAGGTACCAGAAGAATGAGGTTGGGATTAAAAAACTATTTAAAATATGTGTTGGATTTGTAAGACAAAATGAGGTATCAAATGAAAGATAATTGAATGGACTATATGTTTGTAATCTTAGTTCTTCAGTAAAACTAAAATAAATTACCACAAATGACACTCAAATGGCATTTAGTCAAAATGGCCCCGGACACGCAGCGCTGCCATTCGCACCCGGGTACCATTAGACCAATGCTATTCAGATGTCATTTGTGGTCGTTTATTTTAGTTAATTATCTGCTTGGCACCTTCGTTACAGAGGTAACTTCTTTAATAATGTGATAAAGGCTGTCCTTCAGATTTTAAAATCACTCATGTTTATACTTTAAATAAGCAAAATGGTTAATTTTAATACCCATTGGCAAAGCAGTTACATACCAGTTCTGATGCTATATTTTCTGCTTGATCTTGTCCTAGATCAAAGTCAAACTGGATTGCTTCATTTTCTTTGTGAGTGTCTCTGCGTTTTTTAGGATCAACTACCCGTAGGCGCAGTGAAATAACTTGTGTATCGTCCTCTTCATCCTCGTTTCTTACAAGTTCAACTAACAGGCCTGTGTCCTCCAAGAAGAAATCATGTGCAAGAAGATCTTTCACTGTCAACCTGTATTTTATTTTTGGTGGAATGTATTAAAAAAGTTTGCAAACAAAATTGCTTACCCCTCGTAAGTAAAATATAACATACCAAGCCACTTTCAAAAATTGTCTTTAGCTGAAAACAAAATATTAATACTAAAAACAGAAATGACACAGACAAATCTAACCTGTCCTCTTTCTTGGTCTGAATGCATCCCTCGATGATACTATGTATCTCTGGATCTTTCACTTTATCCAAAGCTTCTGGGTGTACACCCTGTTAGTGTGAAGATTGTACATCTTTAAAATCCATTAAATAAAACTACCATGAAAAGTATTTTTAAAATTTATTACCTGCTAGAAGTATCATGGTGGCTACATGGTTCTTGTAAGAAGGTTGTTAAGACATGATTGCTAGCTTTGGGGTAAAAAGAAAGCTTGGAAGAAAAGAATTATGAGTGATGCATATATTTATTTTGTTTGAAAATAACGACAGTAATATACAAAAATAGCTTACAGTAGTGACTTTGCGATAGATCTGACCAGGATTATGACATTCTTTGTAAGGATATTCTGATGATGCCATTTCCAACATACACATTCCAAAGGCATAGACGTCCACAGCTTCATCATAGTGCTCTTCATACATCTCTGGGGCCATGAATTCAGGAGTACCTTAAAGAATACAAAGGACGTCTTGTACTCTCTTGCTGCCTTAGAAGGGGAAAGAGAAAGAGTGGATTCCTAAGGTTAGTTGCAACTGGGCATGGAACATCTTCCGCTGAAAATTGTGAATGCAGATTAAACATCCAAAAAAGGACAAAAACAATTGGGATAAGATCTGTCCTACCTTTGAGATGCCAGTTCAACAAATGCTCCAAGAAATAGATGCTACAAGGCAGATTTTAAAAGATAGTGGGAGGGGGGAGAGAAAATAAAAACAATTATGAATTAAATAGAAGATGATGCAAAATGAAAAACCAAGTAGCAGGTGATATGAATTGAAGCCTTTGGAAACAATGGATCCGACCTTACTAATATTTTTGGAAAATATGGTTCATGAAGAGGAAATTAAATGTCATTATTTTGTTACCATATATATATGAGTTTAAGACATTGATGGAAAGCTCCATGCCCGTTCAACGATGAGAAATAAGGTTTCTAGACTAAATGTTTTACCAAAAGAAGACGTGTGTGAACATATATCAAAATATAAATGAAAGAAAATCTACTTAAAAAATGTCTCCATAAGCCTGTGGTGGAAGATAAAATAACCATGTCCAGTGAAATAACATTTCATACAAAAGCCTTGGGACTAACAAAACTTACCTAAATCTTTTCTTCAAGGAAAAAATGTTATTAAAAAGATACAAATGACTATGAAAGTTACATTTTTAAATTGCGACCTATAGAAGAACAGCAAAGTAGAAATTTATTACATAAACAGCACATTTCAAAAACTAAATTGTATTTTCTTACCTATGACACTTTTTGCAAAAGAATTGCTTTTTAATGTCGCCAGCCCCATATCACCAATTTTGACTGAGCCAGTGGTCCCAGTGATGAAAATGTTGTCGCACTTCAAATCTCTATGGATAATAGGTGGAGTTCTTGTGTGCAGGTATTGCAATCCTTTCAATATCTGCTTGCACCAGTTCTTTAATACCTTTAAGTTTAGTTTCTTAAAGCGTCCAAGATACCTGTGCAAGTAAGTTTATGACAACAGGTTATTGTGTTTCAACAATAAGAGTTTAAATATATCTTAATCACTTAAATTAAAGCAAAGCGAGTCACTTTCCAAGATATATATAGCTTTCTTGACACAGACAAATAAGAATGAAATTTGTGGTGTGTCTTTGGCACAATCAGTTATGGTAGGCAATGATTATATGATGAAAAGAACCAGCTATGTTTAGTATCATTAAATATATGTATAATGTATAGCAGGCGTTTTTTGCTTTTTTAAATCTCTAATAGCCAAATTTACAGATTTTAATCCCTGATGACTGCCACTCACAAACTTACAAATAAGCATGCAGTAACTTTCATTATATCTTATATTTTTCAAGGTCAATTTAAAAAAATCAATTTTAAATTCATATTTCTACAAATAATAGAGTATAAACGTTAGTATCCATATCACAAGTAGAAGAATTCTATAACAGTTTAATATTAAATTAAAATTGTATGTTTCAGATTAATAATGACAATTTTTAGACAGCAATTGCAATATCAGTGCAAGTGGGAATTTTTTTTTTATTTACTTAATTCAGAGGTGCCCAAACTTATTTTATTCTCAAAATCAAAGATCACTGTGAAATCGCCCCCCCCCCCCCCCCCCCCCAACTTCAATTTAAGAGTCAGGTAAAAATAAAAAATTCATTTTTTTTTAATCACAAAAAATTGCTGGATGAGCCTTTACAGCACAGCACATTTCTTCACACCTTGGAATCAAATAAGACACAAAAGGTCTAATTTCCATTTTTGCAAGATTAAGCTTTTATGACAAACTGAAAGACCTGGTTGGCTCCAATAAGAAAATATAATATAACACTTTTACCACTCCGAGAAGTATATTTATCATTACTGATATCTAAAAAATTCCCTTAATTCCATGTTGCTAATGATTTTGTTAACAAAGTATAGGATTCTCTTACAATTTTATAACTATAACATTTTATATACCAATATGGGACAAACACGGAGGAAGATGTGGCTTGCCCAGGGAACAGAGGTGCATATTTTGAAAACACTGCCTAAAAGAAATTTTAAATCAATTGACCTGAATTAATGCAAGTAGCTATTACCTAATATCAAAACCAGAATTTTACTAACGTTTTAAGAGTTCCAGATGTCATAAGTTCAGTAATAAGAACAATGATCTTCTGCCTATGTGTTCCTTCCTCTTCCCAATAATCAAAAAATCTTAAAATATTTGGATGCTGCAACTCTTTTAACATTTCTGCTTCCTCTTTAAATCTCTTTCTGTCACTTTTACTCCACCTTTTGTCCTGAAAAGGAGATGGAATTAGAAATGATATTATTAACGACTTAGCAAGAGGCTTATTACTATTTAGATTCACACCATTTCACTAGAAACAAAGATTTTCGTCACTAATTTTACTGAGTTCTACCCTGCAGTGAAACTTAGACTCATTAATTAAACAGGCTCATACTATTTTTGTTATGTTCAGAAAACTTAAGTATAACATTTTGGAATGGTTAGCATTATTTACTTAATGGAATTTAAAATTCAAGTACAAGAACTCAAGTCTAGAGACAAAATAAGGAGCCCTTAAGATATTCTATTTTTAATCAAGCACTAGTCTTTAGTCAGTAAGCCTCATAATTATTTACAGTACTGTACCTGTAACTCACACCAAGCAACATGAACGCCTGTGTCAATCTCCAAGCCTTTATGTACAGTTTTAAAAGAGCCTCTTCCAACTTCCTCATCAAGCTTCATAAAGCGGTGATCAGGTGACATGCGAGGCTGTTTAACATCATCCTCTTTTCTTTTAGCCTTCGTCTCATGATCAGGTTCTGCTTCTGTTTTAGGACCAACAGCTGATGTCATCGATGGAGTTCTTTTAGGTTTTTCTTTGGCATTATCCTCCTCATCTCCCTCATGAGCACCATTTGTTTCAATTTTAGATTCTATTGCAACTTCACCCTTATTACTCTTTGCAGTATTTTCTTTTATCACAACATTTGGATTTGAAGCATTATTCACAACTGATTTATTTTCTAACTTTATTTGAGAGGGAGTTCTAATACTACAATCAGTTCCATTATTGACCACAGATTCTGATACTGGTAAAATGGACAATGCCTCATTGTTTTCCCGTAAACAAGAGGCATCTTTACTAGTTTCTGCCTGCACCTCACTTTTATTATTTTGCATAGTTCTTTTGGATGATTCAATTTTTCTTCTAGGCGATCTAGAATTGTGAATTTTTTTGCCAGATTTTCCAGATGAGTTAGTATCCAAATTTGAACTGGATTTATTTCCAGTACCTATTCTTAAATCTTTGTCAGTTATATTCTGTGAAACGTCTTCAATACATGTAGGAATGGATGAATCACTTGTTTTAGCTGGAATTGATGTGTTAACCAAGGGGGTTAACTTAAAAGTTGATTTTCCTGTTTGTTTTTTACCAGAATGTAATTCCAGCTCAGAGTTATCTGCACTAACAGAAATGCTGTCTGAAATACACCTTCTAGAAGATGTAGTGTTTCGAGTCTGACGAAACAGTGAGCTTGGCAGCTCATTTAATTGTTCATTGACAAGCTGCTTCTTACTTTTGTCAACAATCACCTCGGTTATTTTAGCTTTTTCTGGTTTTTTTCCTTTAAATCCCACGTCCACATCCTGACTATGGTCGAGATAATTGACAGGCTGACGTTTAGAACGTAATGGAGATTTCTTTCGTTCATCTGGTACATCGCCATTCACAGCCTTTTTCACATAAGATTTATTCATTGTAAACTCGGTTAGATCTCTGCCGTGTTAAATCTTCCGTTGATCCGTAAAACGACATTCATCAAAGCGAACAATTAGCTTCAGTTTCAACCTGATGTTGGTGAAAGGCAGGCGGTGACCGGCAAAAGCCGTAAATTACACAAGTTATTAAAAATACTATTTTGAAAATGTCAAAGTAAACATGACTTCCTATTATCACTGAAAATATAAGTTCCTAGGATTAAAGACCTAATTCGTATCATAACTAGAAGTCGCAATAAGGGTATTATATCTCAATTTTTATTCCATCAGTTCAGTCTTATTACAAATATCTAGGCCTTGGCCTATACAAGATGACGGTGCAGGCTGTCGGATAAGCTGAAAATAGATTGAACACAGACCATAATATTTTGTTCTTTCAGTCCAATCCATTTGTAATTGAATTGAATCAAGAGAGTGATTCAAATTGTAATTGTGTATCCCAATTGAGAATAACAATAATATAATCCAAAGAAATCACATAGAAACTAAAGTGTGTTGTTTTTTCACTGATCACATTTTGTTAGTCCTCTCGTCAACCAGCCACAGTAAACTATGGCGGCGCCTTCCAGCAAGGCAGTTTGAAAGTAGTTCTAAGGATATTAAAAATGATTTTAAATATTTGAAATTTGCTTTAAATGTCAATTTAATCATATATACAGTTTATAATAGTATGAATTTACTTTATAGATAAATTTAATTAATTTTCTTGGCCAAACATGCTAATACAGCTATTTTAAATTATTACGCGTAGTGATATTGCTCGCAGGCATAGCTGTAAAATGTCCGGATATCCGTCTGCGCATTGAGCGAGGAACTTGACCCATTTCAAACTTGTGACGAACTGATTATTTTTTAATATGATCTTTACTTTTTCTAGTGATACTGATAGGAAAGAACATCAAATCTTAATTTTTTTAAATTCTTCATTTTACATTTCTATTAGGTCAGAAGTTTAGCTACTCTTGTTTCTCATAGTTAAGCTTATAAATAACAACCAGAAGTATGAAACTTTTAATGACTTTTTTAGTCATCATTCATCATGGTTAAACTGGTTATTATCGACCAGTAGCCTACATCTCAAACCTTCTGAGTATAGTATAATGGACCGGGGGAAATTTTGCATATTGCAACAGGGACCAAATTATTAGTTTTCGATGCCTCCTTGGGGAATGGTGCCGGACCGCAGGACATCACTTTGAGGTTGAGTAGCTATACAGTCACAGGGTATCCACCAAGAGAGTATGAGTATGCCAATGGCTAAAAGTAAAAGTATAAAGCTACGGCTCAATGAATTGCTGATAGATCGCACAATAGTTCTAGATTCTAGAAATGTATTATCCATTTCACTATTTGAATAAACATTTGCTTTTACTTTTAGATGGTAGTCTACTTCTTTAAATACAAAATAAATGTAAAAAAAACAAAAAAAACTACTTTATAAATGTGGCATAAATAGCCGGGGCATTAGGTCCCTGGCCACTGATAACCATATTCATACTTACTTATACCACCATAGGTGGCGTCCCTAATTTCTAGGAAGCGTTTCTATGAGGGTGGTGTTGTATAGACAAACTAGGATTACGACCCAGAATTAAATATTCGGATAAGTCAACGGCCAGTCGGCTATATCCTACGTTTTTAATTTTAAGTAACGGTGGGATGCCAGCACTGCCTACTATGCCTTTCCCTGCAAGGATTCCATTGAAGCAAAGTTTGTCTTTTATTTACACCAAGGAGAAAATCATGTAGCTATCAAAATAATATGTAAAAAGTTGACTTTGGTGAGGTACTAATTATCTTATCCGTCTAACGTTAAAGCTACTTCTAATAAAAAAAATACGAATTCGCCTGAGTTCAAAGGTACCTGTTAAATAGTGTTATCTTTATTATCCCTTTCCCACGCAGGATTTCTATGGGGAAAAAATGGATTTACACCAAGGAGTACACCGATGTACCGGTAGTTATCAAAATAATCTGTAAGCAGTTAGCTTTGGTGAAGGCCTAGTTGGCTTAAGATATGTCTCACGTTAAGGCTTCTTCTACTATAAACATACAAAGTCGGGTGTTTTCAAATTTATTTATGAATGATATGAAAATGGTATTCTAAGTCAGTTATAAAATATATTAATAAAGACTATCACCAGGAACACCAAGTCAGCCTGATACAACATGCGGATAATGCCCTGTGTTAATTACTACATATTGGCTTATGTATCAGCTGGCAGCCCTATGTCAATAACTAATGACCGACCCTATCTATCATACACTAGGCCTCTGTTAATTACTACGACTGACTATCTATCATAAACTAGCCGACAGCCCTATGTTAATAACGAATGACTGACCCTACTTATCATACCGTATTATTAACGGTATTACACATGTGTTAATTACCATTGACTGACTCGATCATTCACAAACTAGCCTATGTAGCGCTATAATAACTAATGCCTCATAGTAATGACTGACCTTACTTATAATGCATTTTACATATTACATGTGTTAATTAATTATCTCTGACTGATCCAATCTATCACAGCCTTAATCACAACTCATGATTATATCAACTGATATTTATTTATTTTTCATGTTAAAAATAAACCTTACGTAATTAATTTGCAGGGCCAGTTGTTCGGTATCTCTAAAACATGCGACGGGATTGCTAACGTTACGTAAGTTACCGTAATCATGAAATTGTTCCACGGAATCGAAAATTATCTACCACAGCGACATCGAATACATCATTCTAATGTCTTAGTTTAAATATGAACATGATATGGCAGTCTTTATAGTTGCAGGGCACACTCTAATTATCTTGTAGAATTTATCATTTTACGATGTAAATTATTTGACTTGGACTATCTTCAATCTAAAGTGATTTAATTGTACAATCCTGAAAGAAGGATGTCAAACAATTACAACATCATTTAACTAAAACATTTATTTCGCGTCACGTAAAACATCAGGAATAGCCCGGTTACACAAAAAAACAAAAAAAAACAAAAACAACTCTGCATAGAAATATTTGTGAAATTTAGTTTTAAAATTGACATTTAAATTTACTTGACTTACTGTTTTTTGTTGTTTTTTGTGGATGAGGTCTTTTGAATTCATAAAATAGCGCCTCTCCTGTAGAATAAAACAACGAAACTTGATAGAAATATATCCACGCTTTTCTATTACTTGGGTCTGCCAAAAACACGAATCAAGTTCTATTTTTTTTTTAAAAAAAAAGGTTCGTTTGAAACTTGAAATGTCAGGCAGAGTTGGGGCCTTTTATAGAGATAAAAGTGAACGACAGACTATAGCCTACATATACGGAACTGCAGACACCATTTATTACATGAATAGACCAAAGGAGTGGGACGGTTTTTGCTATCGGGTTTGGATTATTAAAAGAATATGTACAACCGCTTCACGCATTGTGGCTGATTCAATTCAGAGGGGGTGGAAGACATGTTTATTTTCACTAAATGTAAAATTATATTAACAATAAAACCCACACTGGTATTTTTTTGCAGGAAAAAATATATATATTACATATAATTTATAAATATGAAGTGTCGTATAGACTGAGCCGAATGTGATGATATTTCAATTTTGCGGACTTGGCAGTCCTGTCCATTAAGAGTAGGCAATATATGTTGTATGTATGAGATTAAGCTAAATATGTGGTATATGAGAGTAGGCAAAATATATGGTATAAGAGACGCACAAATGTAATTTGCTTGAAAATTAAATACATACTTTTATAATAAGGAAAATAATTAATCAGCAAATATTTCTTTGTAGATTGTCTTTATTACACAAACTAGAGCTTTCGCCGTATGTTTTCGACATTTATGAATACATCCACCAAGAAGACCTGTGGGTATGTGCAGCCCTGGGGCTGGGATGTACCGTATTAATCTGCAGGTTAAATACCGGTACTCTTGGCGTATGGGTTTTCAAATCACACTCTTTGTAGTTTTTGTTTGTGGTATTTAATTAAAATAAATACAAGTAACATACGGCATTTTTTAAATTATTTTTTGTTAATATTTTTTTTAAAGAAAAAAAATTAAAAGAAAAAAAAAACATACACCAGAATTGTCATGGGTTTTGAGTTCAAGTTCAGCGAAGAGAATTATTGTGACCAGAGGTGGGCGAGTTAGATTTTGACGAAATTTTATCGCTTCTGATGATATTAATTACAATTCTTAAAGGCATTTGGGAATTTACCAAAACAACGCAATTAAAATTAAAAAACTTTTCATTATGTAAATCCAACGGAAGCAGGTTATTTTGGACTAGAACACTAAACCTAGAGTAGTTTTCCGATTCTTTTTAAACGTTTGTCATTTAATGTAGAAGCCTGAACAAGGTGTGGGAAATTTAGAGCACTGGCGAAGGAAAGAAGGGGCAGTCCGCCCTGAAGAGCATTTCCCCCCCCCCCCCCCTCTAAATTGGGGGAAAGCATTTTTTTTCTTTTTTATATTATAAAAACATATATATATAAAAAAATAAATATATATATATATATATATATATATATATATATATATATATATATATATATATATATATTAAAATAGATAATGTACAGTTTTCTGAATATTACACAATTTAATTTTTAAAATATTACTCGAACGCCATAAGGTAAAAGGAGACAAATGGCAAAGGAAAGATGTGACTAAATTGAATGAGTTTATTGACTGCCTGCTCCATACTAGCCCCTAATGTATTTAATGTATTCCTGGAGTACACAACTCAAATAACAAACAAGCAAACAAAAATGTTCTCAGTCAGTTGAGGGTTGTTGTTTTTTTCGATTAAATTTTAAATTATGTACCAGTGTGTTACACCCAGTAGACAGGTATGTTAAAAAAAAAAAGACTAGTCCTCCAAAAATATGTCGCTTTCTCTTGCTCTATATAATGGCATCCTGTAAGATGTTCATTGCAACTACCTCGTGAATTAGGTCAAGTCAAATATGAGAAAGATTGTTGAAAGGAAATTCGAGATATCAAGACAAACTATCAATGTCCGCATGTATGACTCCCAGTGTCAACGAAAAAGTTTAAAATTTGTGTTTTTTTTTTTCTAATTAAGCCAAGCTCTTTAGTGCAAAAGTTGAAATTAAATCATTATGAATAACATATTCATTATTTAGAATAACTATTTAATTTATAAAATACTGTATGTTAAAATCTGTTAACTTAAACAATAAACATTAATAAGCTGAAATAAAGGATTCAATTTTAATAATTAAATTAATATTATTACTTTTCTAAAATTCAAATTAAAACAATAAATGTATCCAAATCATCTTGATTACTACATTAAAAAAATCGATGATCGAAAATGGTTTAAAGTAAAAAAACTATACAGAAAAAAAATCTACTGGTACTAACAGATTTAAACAAGGAACAAAAAAAAAACATAATAAAACTATGAATCTATGAAGTAACAAACAGAAACAAAAAAATGTTCTAAATTCTCATACTATTATTGTTATCACACCCATCATCGAAGTCATTTAATCTTTTTGGAGCCACTGCGGGTCCGAATAGCCATTTGTTGGCTATAGGTACCCAGGTACCTATAACTACAAAAGAAAAAAAATGCATCTATAGGTACACGGGTACTTATGGTCGCCAATGACTATTCGCAAACGGAGTTGCTCCGTACATATTAAATGGCTTCGGAGCCGTGTGTGATAACAATAATAGTATGAAAATTCTTTTTTTAAATTGTTTTTTCTCCTTGTTTATTTCATTTATTCATAGTTTTATTATTTTTAGTTTTCTTTTTTTTTTTTTGGTTTGTTAATTACTCTTAGTACCAGTAGATTTTTTTTTCTTTCTTATTTTCTTTTTTAGTTTAAGCAATTTTCGTAGATCAATATTTTTTTTTTAAAATCTAGTAATGAAGATGATTTAGATACATTTATTGTTTGCTGGGTGGCCGAGTGGTCTAAACTGAGCAAATCTCAAGTTGGTGGTTTGGAGTTCAATTCCAGCTAGAGCAAAAACACCACCAGCACCCCGGGTAGATGGGACCCGTTAACCTTGGACGGCAACTCATCTAAGAGAAGGAAACTCTGAAATCAAACCCGGAGATGGAGTCCCGAAAGGCGGATAACATTGATACAATGAAACATTCCGACAACTCCTGCGACGTCACTGGTGCCAAGCTGTATCATCCAATGATGTTCCCTTGGGTTACCCAGCGGCGTGGACAGAGGCGATTTGCTGTTGGGAACCAGCTTATAATCCTTCAAGTATAATAATCCCAGGCTATGTGGATTTCGTCCTACGAAGCCCACTCCATCGTCACATTGTGACGGACGGATGCCAGCAAAAAATAAAAAATAAAAAATAAATGTTTTAATATAGTTTTAATTTACTGTAGCGTATTTGTATGGTGGACGAATGGACAGGACATCAGCTTAGTTACTTTCTCTTTATTTTCTCTTTACTTTAATTCCTTTTTTTGCTTAAAAAATTGTATCCAATCAATCCAGGGGGGGCAAGTGCCCCCCTTGCCCCTACGTGCGGGCACCCATGGTTGAGGGTAGGCATTTTTTCCCTATAAATTGAGGGTAGGCATTTTTCTATATATTGAGGGTAGGCATTTTTTACCTGTTACCAACTGCCCTGGGCAGCACTAACTCTCGCTACGCAACGGATTCGATATATTTTAGAGCACAAACATTACACAGTCCTTGGCGGTTTGCAGATGTCTGATGAAAAACATAAAAGAGGGTGACGACACATGTGAAAAGTAATCAAACTGTTTAACAATGTATACCACAAACTGTGCATATTTAATCATTGTAACTACACATTCTCATGTCCCGTTAATCTAACTCTTGTAACCATCCTTTTATGGGGTAAATTAAACTACCATTGTAATAATTCATCCTTTTACGAGGTACATTAAACTACCATTGTAATAATTCATCCTTTTACGAGGTATATGAACCACCATCGTAATAATTCATCCTTTTACGAGGTACATTAAACTACCATTGTAATAATTCATCTTTGTATGATGAAGAACAAGAAGAACAACAGTAACTTCTACTGGGCAGTTTCAATAAACACCACAGATTATTTAATTATAATTTGTTTATTTTGTGGTTTGTACTGGTTCGCTTAAGTACACTGGACAAAGCCACCCGTTCATTTTATTTAACAACGACATTATGAACCCATATACGAGTTTTATCTCGAAACACCGATCGATCAATTCGAGAAGAATTTAAGCAAAGAATCCGGCGTATCAGCGGAAAGGGACTGACACTACGCATTCTCCCCGCACCACTGAAAACGCTGATTGACCTTATTCCTCGCCGTGTCGAACAAACCCGCGCTATGCAGTACCACCACCCTGTCACTGAATTTTTCCACGCGGTCTTGTCAGTCGCGTGACATTGAACTCCGTAGCTCGGGTCGATGGTGAACTTTCGCAGCGTAAGACGTCACTGAAAGTGCTACAATACAGAAGCTGTCGTTTGTGTCGGTGTGGGAGGGGCCCCCCGAGGGGGGGGGGCTACACGTACTTATGCTTTCAGTTCTCATGGTGAGCCATTGAGCAGTGACAGAATGAAAGATGCTTACACGATTGAGGAATTATGTTCGCATGATTGAGAAATTGTGTTTACATGTTTTCGTAATTGTGATTATATGATTGAGAACCTGTGGCTAAATGATTGAGCAGGGCCATCTAATCTTAAAAGCAACTGGGGCCCTGGGCAAAGTAATGCATGCACTGAGGCCCCCTATTTCTCTCTAAGTCTATTCAATCAAAGTTACGGAAATTATTTGGAGTCCAGGTTGGCACAAACGTCTGACCAGTGTTCTTTCCAGATAATCTCTGGCGCTCGTGTGTGTGTATGTGTTTAATAATGACGCCCAAAGCCAGCTCTAACCGCGCCGCCCTCGCAAAATATAAACATACATTTATTCTGGTTGTGACAACCCCTTTTGACCATAGCTTAATTTCGCCCCTGGAATCTATATAGTCCAACACTATCTATAAATAAATATAAAAAGACTAAACAGTGCTTTTATGTAGATTAAAAAAAAATGCCCATGCAGTCACTTTGATTGGAGAGGGAGCAGAAATCGAGAGCGACGAAGGCTCTCGAAAGCAAAATGGTCGTGGGATTAGGGGGAGACTCTCCACAACAAATTTATTTATAAATTCAAACTGCAGGGATACATTATGG